ATCGGGATCGGGATCGGGACTGGGATCGGGATTGGGATTGGGATTGGGATCGGGACTGGGATCGGGATCGGGATTGGGACTGGGATCAGCCGCTCGCCTCCAAGGAGCCCTCGGGGCCGACTTCCGCACCCCACAGCCGTCGCGGGGAAGCGCAGCCCTGAGCGCGGTGTCCGGTCGCTTCGCAGGGGTTTGACGCGGTGTTTGTGTCGTTGCAGCCACAGCGCAGAAATGATCATCCCGGTCAGGTGCTTCACGTGCGGCAAAATAGTGGGGAACAAGTGGGAAGCCTACCTTGGCCTTCTGCAGGCGGAGTACACGGAAGGGTGGGTTTTATTGCTGTGTTCTTCGATTCACGATGCCTTAGGTGACATACACAGTGCATAAGATCCCAGACCTGTTGGGGTTGGAAGGGAGCTCTGGAGATCATCTCGTACAACCTCCCTGCCAAGGTAGGGTCAGAGGCACAAGAGCGAGGTTGTGGAGTCATGAAAGAGACGTAGAGAGACTAAAAACCGCAGGTACATTCTGAATCGTTTAACCAAAGGTTAGAAATTGTAATAGGCAACAAAGTACTTGTTTCCTCACTGAGTCTTTCAGGGCAGCAGTATGGAAGTTGCCAAGTCGTGTGTCCTTGTCCCCAAAACGTTTCCAAATACATAACTCTGTACCCATTTGCTGTTTCTTCCCTTCACCTTCCATATACCCAACTTTGACACCAGCGTGATCAGTTTTTTGAACGGAAAGAAGGAAAAAAAAGTGACAAGTGTAAGAAGTGTTTAGCGTTTGTTTGGGGTTTTTTAAAGCATTTTAACACGGGGTTGCTAAACTTATTTTTAAGTACTGGTTTGCTGGAGAAAGAAGTTGTAACTGCTTTGGATACCCCACTGATAGTCCTGACAACTCTGTGTTAAGAAGTCTGTACATCCTTTTCACAGCCAGAGTTTCTGCTAATAGTTCAGAAGCTTTGAGAAGAAAACTAAAGAAATACTTACATTTTCATCAAGTTTAAGTATGAAACAAAAAAAAAAAAAAAATCCATGGATTTTTGCAATTCAGAGGAGTGAAAAAGAAGTTAGAAATTTAAGTGATGTTGAAGTAGAAAGTAGATGTTAAGTAGAAAGAAAATTATTTGGTTTGCATTCAAGTGGTTGGGGATCCTAATAGTTTTTACAGGTAAGTTTATTTCTTTCATATATGGAGTTAAAAGCATTACAACACCATGGGCTGTCAATTATTTTTCACTCATACTAGTTTACTAGGACCTTTTTAATAGTGCTTCTGACTTATATTGTAGGCATTACATTTTAATATTTTCCCCATCTTCATTATTTCTCTGCTTTTGTATAGGAGTTTTGCCATTGACAAATTCTCACTTGAAAACAATTGTTGTGGTCACTGGCTTGATTCTGGGATGCTTGTTCAAAATAACGCAATTATGGTGTAAGAAGTAAGAGTTTACAGATTTCAAACAGTTAATATCTTACAGTGCAGTACAGGAATCTCTGTTAATGGTGGCTTAAGAAAGGGATGGACAAAGTGGAAAATCTTGTCTAAAGAATCAGTAATTTAAAAAGACACACCTTTCTGTTTGTCCCTTTAAAGTGCTTTTTTTTCCACAAGCCCTCAGAAGCTGGAGGAAATGGCAAGTACAACTAAACTGTCTTAAAGTATATAGTATGACTTTGGAAATTGTGATTAATGTTAGTATTTTACATTTCTGATAACTGCATATGAGAGTTCAGAATTTCCCAGATAGCTCCTAAAATTTACCTATCAACAGATCATCATCGGATGTTTTTGTTCTCGAGCATTTCAGAAAATAGAGGCATCATGTGATGTTATTTATAAACATTCTTTAAAATGCCCCACAGTTCTTAAACTTCTCTAAAACAAGTTTTGCAGGTGCTGTCCTAGAATGAGCAGCCCTGCTGCACTATCAGTTGTTGCAAGTACTGAGTGACATCAGAGAAGCCGCTGGAAGTTGGCTCCTGCAGTTAGACTGTACTGCTTGATACCAAACAACCTTTTACCATGGTCCAGCTTAGGCAGAGGCTTTCTTTCAGTCATTTATATTTAGAAAAGTATCCACTGGCTTATTCCTAGAGGAGAGTTACAATCTCCATGAAATTAAGTTTGTTTTGAGCTAATGCTTTATTGCACTGCATTATATCGGTCTAAAGACCTTGAGATCGCTCATGTCTCATGAATGTCACATTCTGAAGGGGTATCAGACTGGCTTCATGGTTCATAGGCTGGAGCTAAAGATCTTGGTAGTATCAGGATCTTTAAGAGGTCTGGTAGCCACAGCCATGGGAGATACACGTAGTGGTTTAGGCTAGGATGACTCAACATCCTCTACCCAGACATCAGAATCTGGAACAGTCGCTCTGAAGGAATTCAGTGGAAAGACTGTAAAACACTTGATTTTTGACCAGTCTGCACATACTTACTTGTACATATGCAGGGGGCAGGTTGTATAACTGAGTGCTCTCCCTAATGGGAATTGGGAAGGATTGTAGCCGTCCTCAGAATTAGCATCCCTGTGTGGGGGAGGTTGCGTTCCAAGTTATTTTAGTTTCTGTATATCTCACCTTTTTAGCGTGGCTCAGATCTTAAATTTATCTTGTGAAATAGGCGAGAATCATCCTCAGTTTACAGAAACAGGTTAAAACAGTGCCCTCTGAAAGCTGTGGCAGCTGGGGACCCTTCTCAGCAAATCCTGTGCTCTGGCCAGCTGGAGAGTGGGCAAACACACTGTCAACATCACTAAGTGGAAAAGGGCATTAGCAGCACATGCTGAATTTCTGTCTGTCTGAACTGCAAAAAAATTTTCCTCTATGAGTGAGCTCAAAGTAATCAGTGTGTTACTTAGGAAACACAAGTGGTTCTGACTCACTTCATCCGTTATCTTTTTTAATTGTTGTTCGTTAATAGAGATGCCCTGGATGCCCTTGGCTTGAAGAGATACTGCTGCCGCAGAATGCTCCTCGCCCATGTGGATCTGATTGAGAAGCTTTTGAATTATGCACCCCTGGAGAAATGAGATGGAAAAAGCACTGTGCTGCAAGCCATGTGGAACGTATCTCTAATTTAAACTTGAAACTGGACTTCAGGCAGTAAAGGATGAAAGCCAGCTGTAGTGCAACCATCAAGAGATGTTTATCTTCTGGATAGGATACTGCCCCAAGCCACTAACCTCTTTCAAGGAAACAACAAAATGATGAAGTCCACTTAACCAAGATTTAGAGATTAAACGTTTGGAAGCTTCTTAAGTCTGGGTTTGGAGTTATGAACTTCTAGATGCTTCTGCCAGTAAAACCAGATGTTTGTTCATGTAGAAAAACTTATATTTCATTAAAATGTTGAAATAAAGGAGGTTTTTCCCTTGTAGCCTTCCTACAGTTTCTGGATGAGGTAAAGTGTATGTTTGGATCTTGCTGGTTACCTTAAGGTTAGAGGTACTGCTGAGTACCCAGTTCAGTGTCCTGCACTAGGAAAGCAAGGGTTGGAAACACGGGACTGAACTGTGGTCCCGGCGACATGGAAGTGGGTAAATTTGTGAGGCACTGCTCCAGAAAGCTGCTGGAGCTTGCAGGGAACACTTCCCACCGCAATTAAAGTCAACTTGTGTTCTCTACCCCAGTCCTTACCAATCACTGGGGCTGCTGTATCACAAAAACTGATTCAGATGGTGCAGTGCCTTCATTTAAGCAAAACATGTCTGAGTGTCTCCACGGAGAACACTGGATGTGAGAACTGAGGCGTGCTGGTGTGAACAGGATCAAAGTGCTGCTGCTGCCAAGCACCTGCACCCCTCTGTGGCTGGTACAGACACTTTCCACCGCTTGTCATTTCAGTGACTTCACGTTGTGCTGCGCGTGTGCTGCGGTACTGCCCGGCCCAGCGGAGAGGGGCTGGAATGGAGAGAGGGCAGCTGGAGCTGCAGGGCTGGGGAAGGTCACCTACACCCAGACAGGCACCAGCCCTGTGCAGAGGTCTCACCTTCCTCTTGCACAATCGGCTTGGAAGTTGGATCACATTTTCACTCTGTTCTCAGACATGCAGAAGATGCTTGTTGTGCATGGTGTGTGCACAGGCAGACACACCCATCTTACCTGAAAGCAAAGGATGCCCATTCCTACACCTGTGTGGGTTTGGGATTCTGTGCAAATGCAGCATTAGTCCATCATTACAGCAGCCCAGTAGAGAATGGGCTGGAAAAGGTGGTAATACCTTAGGATGCAGTCTGTTGCTCCTTGGTGCAGTTAAACTTTCGGCACATCTGTATCAGCTGCAGGGTAAGAAGTATCTCTGAGGATTTTTTTCTGTAGTACGAAGGATCTGGTTTGAACAAACCCTGGGTTTACAGAAATAGTAATTATTTAATGTGCTTACAGGGTCAAACTTCTACCCACAAAGCTTAAAACTAGATTGTCTCACAAAACAAGATGCACGACTGCTGCTTGCCTTTGGCTATCACCCAACCAATCTTCACAGTTGAACTTGCTTTTCAATTTACTAGAAGGCAGTAGTAGATGTTTCTCATATTCAGCAATTCTTCACTGAAGACATCTTAAAACCTGTGCTTTACCCTAATGCAAAGAGAATTAAGCAGTTAATTCTAGCATTTGTTTTGTAGTTGGTTGGATAGCTTATGTTCTGCATGCCTGCTGTATTAGAAAGCTGAACACGCTATGAAAACAAACCAAAAAAAGCCCTTCACTTCTCTCTCAGGCTATTTGGTAAAAGAGAGTGAACTAGAGGATGACCTTTCCCAAGTGAACTTGTGTGGGATGCTTTTCCCTGTCAGATTGGGGTGTGACACAGCCCTTGGTGCCAGCCTGTTCACAGATCCATCGGCGGGCCCCGCGCTCGCTCTGTGAGCCGCACTGGGAGCGCAGCAGCCCAGACGGGAACGTCTGGCAGAGGCAGCCGTGCAGGAATGCCGTGCAGAAAGCTGGCCTGCATCACTGCCAAGGAACTGGATTAGACGAGCTGACAGGACTTGGTTCTATCTGCAAAAGCAAATTTCTAATCTCATTTTCTGCTTTAGAATAACATGTTTCTTTTCAAAGCGAGTGCCAAGTTGTCTGATATGAAAAGTTATGGCTCCTAAATACTTAATAATGAAAATGCAATTTGCAAAAACACAGCAGGCCTCATTCAAAGAATGCAAAGGAAAGAGAAAAACCCACCTTGCTTGCTCTCATTACTATTCTCAAAACCAGGGTGCAAGTGGAAGGCAATGGCAGTCTGGTATCACTCCCTCAGACAGATGTTACCCAAGAAGCCGCAAAAACACCTGAGCAGCAAGACTAAATCACAGCTGGCATTAATATCAGCTCATGCAGCCCTTGACACCCTGTATGCATCACAGCTTTTCCTCAGGAGTTTGCAAATGCAGCATTAACCAAAAAACGGCATTTCTGTAATGTGGCAAAGCAAACAGTTTATCGTGATCACGTGAAAGGTTATCTCAAGGGTTTTGTCCTTGGGAAGGTTAGGAGCAGAAGCAGAGCTTAAATCCTGTTACAGGAAGAGTCTGGAATTTTCAATGGCTTTCTGTAAGTCCCATCTTTCACTCCTGCTCATTGGTAACTAGGAAAGTAATTCCCTTTTTGCTGTCACTTCCCCTGTGCTACCTTCTGCAGCAGTTAATAACATAAGAGTATTGGATCTGCTTTCTAACCTGCCAGATGTCTTTGGAAAGAGCCATTAAATATGCTTACAACAAACACACTTTTTCAAGACAATGTAAAAGATGTGTATACACAGAAGAAATAAAAAAGCCTCAGTTTTCCCTCAACCAGAAAAAGAAGCCCTTAACAAAATCAACAGATAGACAGCAGTGGGGGAAAAAAAAAGAGGATAAATGGTACTGAATATGCAGTCCTTAATTACATGAAGAATTGTCAGTTGGAAGATTTTTGAAAAATACAAAAATGCCACCACTCCTCTGCAGTCACTTACTCACTTTACAATTTTTCAAGTCTGTTACAGGGCTCCTACTAACCCAGGTGATGGTTTAACCCCAGGCAGCAACCAAGCCCCACACAGCCATTCCATCATTTCCCAGCAGCAGGAACAGTTCTCTCTGGGGAGAGAATCAGAAGGGTAAAAGCTGGAAACTCGTGGGTGGAGATAAAGGCAGTTTAATAGGGAAAGCAAAAGCAGCGCACACAAGCAAAGCAAAACAAGGAATTAATTCACTGCTTCCCATGAGTGGGCAGGTGCTCGGCCACCCCCAGGAGAGCAGGGCCCCATCAGGTGTCACAGTTTCTCGGGAAGACAAATGGCATCCCTCCAGATGTTTCCCCCTTTCCTCCTTCTTCCCCCTCACTTTACATACTGGTATAATTTGGTCTGGAATATCCCTTTGGTCAGCAGGGCTCACCTGTCCTGGCTGTGTCTCCTCCCGTGCACCCCCAGCTCCCTCACCACTGTGGCTGTACAAGAAGCAGAAAAGGCCTTGGCTCTGGGTGAGCCCTGCTCAGCAATAACAGAAACATCTCTGTGTTATCAACCCTCTGTTCAGCACAAATCCAAAACACAGCCCCATGCCAGCCCCTGTGAAGAGAATTAGCTCTGGCCCAGACAAACCAGCACACCTGCTATTGCGAAAACAAGCAGTCACAATCAGAAGTGTGACAGAAGACCCCCTGTCACCCAAGCCACAGCCTCCCTTCATACATCACAGTCATACCAAAATAACAAAGTGTGCCTGCAACATGTGGTAGGAGCTGAGGTCATGAAAGTACAGAGGAACCTGTTCATGGAGCTCAGCATCCAGCTTCAACCTGGAGCATCAGCACCAAGCTGTGTATGCTTGGAAAGCTTTATGTTTCTTGAAATGACAATTATAAACAAAAAAAAAAACCCTCTTTATGATAGTTCTGAGTCCATCTGCTGGGAAGAAGTGAAATGCTTTTGTGTGGATCTGTAATGAGCCTCAGGTTTTACATCTCAAAATTAATTTTGCTCTGAAAAACCACCTCTTGTGAGGGTCTTGCCCCAGGGTGATTTACTGAGAGATGGGTGCTGAGCTTTCATTCTTCCCATGACTTTTCCGTAAATGCAGTCTGGAATTAGATACTAAAGTCTGACTTCTTGTATATGTTTCTTGTCTATAAAAAGAAATATGAAAACTCTCAAAATCCTGATTAAAACCATCACACAAACCCCCATAGAAGTGTATTTCCATCAAGATGTCTAAATAGCCCTGTGGCTACAAAGCTACATTTCACTGATAATAATTTGTGAGAATCCAGAACAGGAGCTACCTCTTTCCCTGCAAATGGTCCTACAAGAAAAATCAATCCTTGCTTTGACAAAAAGAAAAAAGAAAACAAAAAACCAAAACAAAACAACCACAAACCACCCAAATAGCCTATTTGCCTCTAAAATCAGTTTAATTCCAAATAGTTTCTAACTTCAGTATAGATCCCAGTAAGAAAATAGCATTTCTACTTTGACCCCTCCCAGAGCAGACCCATGTACATCCAGTTAAGCTCAACTAGCCAGCAAGATTTTCTTATTACTGAAACTTCTCAACTGAGACATCTGCAAGATAATGCTTCTTCTACCTGGCTCTGACTGCCCAGAATATGAACATAGATTTGCCTTCTCCTTCAGTGCATTTGCACCATGATTTACATTGTGGCTTTGCTTTCAGCTCCAATTTTTATTCAGTTCCCCCAGCCAGTGAGAAAGCGTTTTTAATTGCTCAGTAGCAACAGCACAATAAAGATGTTTGAAAACCCAGGACAGAGAGCATGTAGCCAGACCTTTGGCTCTGCCATGATGGATGGTTTGATGTGTCACCCACTGAAGTCTGTGGGAGTCTTTTCATTAACTTCAGTGTGACTTAAAACGACCTGGTAGCCTGTGGTGCCCTACACCATTCGGGTGTCCAGGATTAATTCATTTTGTTAAGTTCTGCTAAGAAAAGCTGTTTGAGGCGCCCAAGGCTTAGGCACTCAACTTTAGATCTTGCTGCAGACTTCAACCATGTGCATCTCTAGCGCATAAGGCCATAGAAGGAAATAAAAGGTAAGAAGTTACCTTCAGCTGCAGTGACTCCTGCCACTCAGGGGCAGCTGCAAGGCTTTTCTTTGGGCTGGTGTTTGGAAGCAGCACAGTATGTACACACGTGTAGGTCCTGCTTAAACTCTCAGTGATTTCTCTGTCACACTCCCTTCCAGAAATATATAGGGAATGTAGAGCCAAGTCATGCAAAAAATGTTAGGGTTTGCACCCCTAATCTAATTTCTCCTTCTCCATGAAGATACATCTTCCAGACTTGTCAGTCATCCTTTGTGGTGAGCTCCACCTTCTCTTGTGCTGTAGGGCACAGAAAGCGGGGGTGAAGCCACCGAGTTCCCAAGCACCACATGAGTTTCCCCACAATTACTTTCAGGATACATCTGCTCCTGTGTTCAACACTGTCTTGTAACAGCCAAGCCAGAAAATTCATGCAGAAAAGCCCTTCATTTATCCCTCCCAAATACAATGCAAGTGTTTTAATAAAACGGGTTCATTATTTCCTGCTCTTTAGGAGATGAACAACTAAAGAGCAAAGAAAGGCAAGGAACAGCTGACAAAAAGCTAAAAGCCCACAGACTTTAGGGAGCTCAAGAACCCTGGCAGTTAAAAAGGCAAGTGGAAAAGGCTGTGGTCAAGCCTTTCTGTAGGCACCAATGATTTTGAATTAACACACTGCCCATCCCACAGGCTGGGTTTGGAGGTAGGAAGAATAAATACTGAATACTCTCTCTTTGGACATCAAATCTCCTTCTTTTAAAAGCAGGTTTACTTAGAGAACTCCAAGAAAATATGTACTTCTAAAAAAACTTTAAATAAATCAGTGCCAGGAGTAGGACAGCTGTGCTCAGCACCCACTTTTAGATACTGACCTTTTCTGAGCTGCTGCTTTCCACATTTTCTAGTGGTTCACCACAGCTGTATCTACAAGCTTTGAATTTCTTCAGAGATTACCTAAATGTCACTTTCCTTGCCAACATCTCTCCAGAGACACATTCCAAGTGCATGAAACTCAATGGGAATCTTTCCTGAAGTACTTTGGGTCCATCCTATTCCACTCTTTGCATTCTCCAGGCTGGTCCACAGCAGCAGCAGAGACTCCCTTTGCCCATCTCCACGTAACATCGTTGCTTGTGTCTTTCAAAGACAGAAAAAGGCTTCAGCTCATGGTGTGTGTTTAGGGACAGGCCTTGACAAGAACATATAGGGTAGTTAATGTGAGCCTTGGGCAGCCAGTGCAATGCCTCAGTTTCCCTTTCTGAACTTCTGAGATGGCACATCCCACCCTTCAGAAACCATCAGAGATTAGCAACAAGGAGTGGCCTAACCTCACCCAATCCCTGGTGTCTTCTTGCATCCTTCTTATCAGCAACCCCCTATCATATGTCCTCAAATCCTAGTGGAATATTTTTAACTAGATTTAAAAAAATCACTTTTTGACATTAAGCAGAGCCCAGTGTGGGAACTGCTGATGGAAAGCTGCTGCCCTGAGCTTTTGCAGCAATTTAGAGATCAGCTTTTGCAGCAATTTAGCATCACTGTACCCAGCAATCCAGAAGGTTTATAAGAACACAGCTAAAGCCCAATTATCCCCAGCTATTTACTGAAAGCTGCCTTAAAGTGCCTCCCCCTTTCTTTTTTTCCTCTTTAATGAAGTCTTCCCTCCAGCAGTGCGTGTGAAAGTGTGCTCCTTCCAAGGCAATGATAGGAAGGAGAAGGGAGAAACATCAGCTTTATGGAACAATGGGGTAAAGGGTAATGAGAACAGTGGCACCTACTCAGGGCTAAAGGCTGCCCTGATGAAATGGGATGTGCTCCTCCCAACAGTGAGCAGCCCCTACCCACCAGCTGATGGGCTCCACCCAGCTCCTCACCAGTACCATAATGGGTATATCACAGCCAAGCCCGTGAGCCTCCCATTTCCAAAGAGAGTGGGAATTCAGGACTTTCCTGGTTGAGTTTATAAATTTATAGGCAGCAATGCAATAGCTAACACTTGGGCTGGAGGTATAAACAAGAAGTTTTACTGAAATTCCCTCAGAAAATTTAAAACCAAAAATCAGATGAATGCTGCTCTAGGCTGTAGGCCTTTCCTTGTAATGAGATGTGCAGCTGAAGCAATTACTAACTTTAGTTTTTTAAAAAAAGCAATAGCAGTTTGACTAGAAGGTCTTCCTCCAGGAATGAGCTAGTAAATGAAAGCATTAAGTTAATAAGGGCTTGAGTGCTTCAGATCATTACAGAGATGGCCTACAGCTCCACACCTCACCAACTTGATTTTTTTTTTTTTAATATTATTGTCAAAACAGCTTAAAGAAAAACCCCTTTGGATCCATTCAGCATTAAATGCAGCCTAGACAAAGGGCTGCTTTCCTCCATTAAGCAACATTTTTAAAAGCAAAAAACTAATAATTAAATTCCACTGAAGAAAAATTGCTTCTAACAAATAAAGAGAAACAGATGCCATTGGCCTTGGCAGCTTTTGTATCAGTGACCTGAGCTGCTACTCAACCAAATTAATGTAATGCAGCAGGAGCTGGGGGCAGCACCACGGAGAAACTCCCAGTTCAGCTTCAGCCAGAGACATCTTGGGATATTCCTGGTGTTTGAGCAACAGTCAGGGCAGCCGGTGGTTCCTGCCAGCCTGGCACTCCCACAGTTAAACCCTTTTATCCTGCCTTCATCTCAGATGGGCAAACTTGCTTTGGGACAGGCCCAGGACTGGGATCTGTGTTGTCCAGAACAAAGCTGGAGCCTGCACCCAGGATCAAGGTGGTCATGCACTGTCTGATTGAAGCTCCTTCGTGGTGGCTGGGGCCAAACTGGCCCAGCCCCACCACAACAGTTGTGTTTACCTTCACTCCCTGCCCCCAGCCAGGGCAGCATGCCCGGCAACTCAACAGACTCCTACTGCTTCCACGTCTCAAACAGGGCACGTCTCCACAAAAGAAGGGAGGGAATTTTCCAGGGCATACCTGGACAGCAGAGTTCTCCCTTCTATTGGAGACTTCTTGTAAGTTATCATCC